TCTTATTTTGGCCATATTACTATGACACGAAACACGTGTTTTGATGTAAATAAACAATCTGTTGTATACGCCACTTGGAACTCAAGTTTCAAGGACACGCTCGCGACAACCCCTCCGCTTTAATATGACGAGCACAAAGAGAACTTAACGGGGACTGTGTCATTTTCAATGACTTGTTTTTGTTAAAATCTGCATATTAATTGCCTAATTTGCATAATTGATCATTTTTACCTTGCCTGTACCATCAGAGATGGAAGGGAAAGGTAATAAGGTAAAAAATTTCTGTCCGGCACTGTCGTCGTCGTTAATTGTGTGCACAATAACTTTATTAATTCTATTCCAAACTTGATCACCTTATTCATCAGTATAAAGTCTTCCTCAGAGTATGAACAACAGATGTCCTGAATGAAAATATCATGCAAAAATTGAGAAAATCTGGTAAAATATTTTAACTTTACTGATCACTGGTGATGCACATTCAAAGGTCACTGATCGCAGTGGAAATATGCATTGTTGTAGTGTTCAATGAGGCAAATCTTGTAATAATATCATTCGTAATGTATCTCCTAAAGCCCATGGGAATACTAGACTGGGTTTCAAAACTGGTTTTTTTTTTACTTTTCAAATAATACAGTCGTCACACAATGAATAAAATAAGGCAGTTCATATTTGTCTCAGTGAATCATTAATTTTTGACAAACACCTGTACAAAATACTTCGACAAAAGCCAGCAAAGATTTTCTGTTATCGTGCATGTTTTATGAATCTTCATGTGTAAATGCAGCACTTTTTTTCTGAGATGAGACATTTGTTTTTATTCTAAAATATCTGAATTACTTTGAATAAAGCTGGAAATTATGTCCCTTAAAATAATTAAACAAATTAGGCACCAATTGCATCTATTAATGACATTCGGTAGACTGATTCCCCCCTGTTGTTTCAACCCCCAAACTAGTTTGTATTCAAAATTAATGACAATGCATATTGAAACAAACTATGATAAAGGGAATAATATTATATAACAAAGGGCAAGGTCACCAGAGTTCAACTATGTTTTAAATTTCAAGTAGTAATCTTGCTAGTATTTTAGTGAATTTTGGTATAAAAATGCTCTAGGACAATGCACAGACCTGATTAGTTTCAGGTAAAACCATGAATTTTATTTACCTACTTTGCATAAAGGTCAATTTTCTGTTTATCTCTAATACTAAGCACAATTCAATGTACCTTTGTACTTGGATGCTCTGACATTGCAGACAACTTATGTTGAAATCTGTACGTAACAAGCCATGCATGGCATAGTCCCAGTTAGTTATCAAATATTTAGTTTTGTTTATAGTAATATAGTTAGAACATAAACATCAGAGATATGGATCCAGAAGCTGATGCTTGATTATGATTTTTTAACATTAAAATGATTGACATTCAGTCATCTTGTATCTGATACTCTTACTTGTACAAGATACAAGTACTCATCCATATTGAGAGAAATTGCTCTGGAACAGCATTCATAAAAACAAAATCAGTGCTACTCTCCCATATCAGACCTGATCTGAAATACAAGTTGATGTGCATCTAGGTCCCATGATGTCCAATGTACCAAGATTAAATCTGTAAACAGCCAAGATCCGGTGCCAGAAATGCTCGATTATGATGATTTTTTTAGCACAAAGGTGGCTGCCATTTGGTCATCTTGATGTGCACATGTATAATATTACGCACGATTGTAATTGGCCCAGGCATGTCTAACATATTGGTCCAGAAGTATGCACAAACTTAATTGGTTTAATGTTGAAAACCATGCATATCTAATTATTACGGTAGCAGCCAATTTCTGATATCTCAAAAAATCAGATTTAAATTGAACTTTGTGGTACAGGTGCAATCTTAAACAGGCTTCTTGCTTGAAAGGCTAATCTTAATTTTTCAATTAATTTTAAATAAGCCTTCAATTCATTTTCATTGATAGTTGCTATGGAACTTTATACCACTGTCATTTCAAACACATCGGTTTGAATTTGTTTGGCTGGAAAAAGTATCTTGCATCTACAGTTATGTACAAAATATCAAACATAGGGAAAATTTATTTTTGTACATATTAATATGGGGCAATAATATTAATTTTATTGCTGCATCAACATTCACTCATTACAATTGACCACCAAAGTGGTCATATTTATAAAACAAATAAGTTGAAAATAAGCTGGGACATGTACACATTCAGGCAATGTTGGGAGAATCATGCCACAGATACATTGTAAAGGTATGGGGCAGATCACATGTACATACTACAAAGGGTGGTCATATAGCAAAACAAGTACCATTCTTTCTTGTATATACAAGCACACCAGAGAAATCCAAGTTTTCAGAAGAGTTTCAGATCATGTCTATGAAATTAATACAAAAGAGAAGTGAAGTGAAATTTAGTTTGAGGTACGCATGGGCCTCACAATGTAAATACATACTCTTGGTATTGACGAATCAGTGCAAAAATGTAAATACCTGCAATCAACAGACTTAAGATGCAGCCCTTTCTGCACAACGTCATGTTGAAATGCATCCAAGACCTTGCTGTCTATTGTGCTTTATTAATACCAATATTGGTCTGTATTCATAGTGGACTTTAAAATGAAGAAATGTGCAGAAGTATTGCCACAACAGATGCAAAACTGCAGGACGTGTACAAGCCCAATGTTAAGTGTATATACTTGTATAAACACAAGACAAATAACTTAAAAAATAGTTTATTTTAGCGACTTTCAAAACAAATGCAATGGTAAAATTGAATGAACAGGCGTGTACATGCAATACTGAATAGATGGCAAACAAACCAGCATTTTTAGCAGCCAATTATCACAAATTATTTTGTCGAGAAATTTACATTAGATAATTCCATACAAAATCTTCATTCAATCCAAGATGAATAAAATGTTAAATTAAAAATTGTTAAAGGACAAGAGACTTGCATCATTTCTTCCTTAGAACTAGTGCTAAAAATACATTTCAGGTCTAAATCTGTTTAGTTTTGCTTTACATAAATTCAACACAAACCACACCTTTGAAACTGACCAACACAGTCAACCAGAAAATTCTTTGGCATTAAGACAAACATGAAGACGTGTATTCAGCATAAAAGCACTAACTTAATCAACATCTAGCACTACATGTATTCTCAACTACTATACAAATAACAGTTGTAATTTGTCTAATCCAGTAATCTTAAATATGAGCTCAATGTCAAAAACAAATTTTCAGCAAGATCAAAAGAAAACCACATTGCAAAGTGCATTATGGATACATTTGATAGAAAAGGCTGTCCAGCATTTTAGGGAAACATGCTGGCAAACTTGATGTAGTATACCGGGGTACACCAATATGGACTGGGGGGAGGGAGGATTTACAAGTACTTTTTATCATCACTTTGCTTGAATGGTCACTTTCCAATTAATAGAGGCAGCTCCATTTTCACAAATAGATCAAGTTTGCACTTATTGTCAATTTTCTATTGTGTTGACCGACCAACATGCCACCAGTTGCTATTGTTTTATGGAGGTGGTGCAATAACTGCTAGTTCAAAGTTGTACAGATCACTGATGCCAATTTACAAGACAATATAATGGAAAGTATGGGATATGAAAACAATTGGCTTAGTACTCAGAAACACAAACTACGTACAGATTAGTAGCTTTTGCAGACCACAATTCCCATCTCAATATCCTTTCTGCAATGTTTTAAAGATGTTTACCACATCCCAGGCAATAATATGCTTGAACTATGCAGGTCACATGCACATCTTGGAACAGTTAAAAACAAATGTTGAATAAATAGAGTGAAGGCAATAGTCAAACAATAAATACAACACCCAAACTTATGATGCAAACATTAATACAAGATAAATTATGGGGGAAGTCTATAAAATGATTTGTTTATAGAGGCACATGACTGAAGAGATACGACACCGATTCGCCATTGTGTGTTCTTCTGATTGCTTCGGCGAGGATCATGGAAATGTCAATTGTCTACAAAGAAGAAAAATGCTTGTTAGATATTTACATGCAAGTACAAAAACACTACCGAATATTCAACATTACACCCCCCAAGCATGAAACTGTCAAAAGTGGTTACATGATTTGATAAACATCGACTTTTGAGTCTGACGTCATGGGTTACCGACTGATATAACATTGGTGGTACCATGGAGGTAAAAAGAGAAGGAGTCGCAGCCAAGCTTATATCAAAGGTACCAGGATAGTCGCCGCTGTTTAGACATAGATCAGGGATTTTATTTGCCAAACAGATCAAGGACAGCATACTACGAACGCCTTTGGCAGCACTGTGATGTTTGTGACAATTCTGTCAAATTCTTATAAACAAATATGGCGATGATCGATAACGCGTATGAGTTTGACTACGATGCTGAAACTGCTATGTCCTTAAATTCAGAAGACGTAAACGAAATCGAAGAGCACATTACAGACAAAAAATTGTTTTCTATATGCTGTGAACAAAATGATTGCTCGAAAACAAAAAATGCAGCGAATTTCTTGTTGACGCACTGCCGTAGGACATACAAGGGATATAAACTGAAAAAAAGCGTCATTTCGAACCTCAAAATTCAGTCTCTGGTACAACGCGGTGCGGTCCATGCCATGCACCATTGCAAAGATCATTAAACGAGCTTTATTGTGGACTAAAAACAGTACTAGCAAGGTTTCGAAACATTACAATATTGCTGATTCAAAAATACAACGGAAAATGTGCTGAAAATTACATAAACTTAACAAGAAATTCTCTGATTTTCAAAATTCCAACTTTCCCGTTCTCACAAACACGATTCCTCTACGTATAAAAGATCTGCGCATGCTTTATGTCCTTTGACATTTACTGCGACACCATAAAACAAGACCTTGGAATGTGTACTGTGCGCAGCAATGCTTGAGAGTAAATGACGCGTCGGCGACGATCCTGGGGTGAAAGGACGATAAGACAAAGGGAATTATGGGATTCAACATGTCTAAAACAAAAGAAGTTTAGGAGGATTATTTTGGCTGTGACTCCTCTTTTTACCTCCATGGTGGTACTTAGACTTGCTGACAAAGCTATTATCCATTAAAATCAACAGCTTCTTAGGTCCCATAACTTTTCATACTTGTGTACATTTCACAGCATTATCAATTATTTTAGCAAGTTTCTGTAATAATTAGCAATACACAATAGAAATTTACAACTTACATTTATTTTATTGCAGTGTTTCATGTTGGTATCCTGTGGTATTGTATTTGTTACAACAACATTTTCCATTTGGCTGTTATTAATACGTGATATGGCAGGTCCAGAAAATATTCCGTGTGTCAGGATAGCGTACACTTTAGAAGCACCAGCAGCAAGTAATCTAAAACCAAAAAAGTTATTGTAAATGATCTAGTGTAAAACACAATTTTGGCAGATGTGACCTCCATACAAAAATTAACAGGACTTTAATTTGGGTAATATACCAACAATCTCATCACGAGAATACATTTTAAATTAGCAACAAGTCATTGAAAATGACACAGTTCCCGTTAAATTTTTGAAAGTTCTCTGTTCATCATACTAAAGCTGAGGGGTTGTCGCGAACATGTCCTTGAAACTTGAGTTCCAAGTGGCATATACAACAGATTGTTTACATCAAAACCTGTGTTCCGTGTAGTAGTAATATGGCCAAAAATAAAAACAGCAGTTACTCTGCCATCTTTGATCTGATTATGAAACACTGATATGTATGATGCATGTGCCAAATATGAATGAAAATGGTACATTGTGGAAATATAGTAGCAAGGCCAAAAAGTCAGATGGCTGTCAATCGGCCATCCTTGACCAGATTTTGAAACAAATTGTCATAGACATGCATACTAACATGTATAAAGTACATGTATGTGCCAAATTTGAATGAAAAGTGATACCGCATATAAAATCAAAGAAAGCTTAGAAAGAACTGTGTGCTGAGAGTATTGAAAACACATTAAAAATTAATTCAAAATTACTTGTACATGAGATATTGATGGAAAAGCTGAAAACTAATTATGTAAATCAGGTAACTAATAGAACAGAACAAAAAAATTATGAATTATTATGTTAATTAGAGAATTAATATGAACAAATTTTAACCCAAAATTAATCAGGCCTGTCTATTGTTCTAGAGCATTTAGGTACCAAATTTTATTCAAATGTGATGATCAGTAATTGAGATATCAGTGTTTTAAATTTAATTTGGAGATTAATAAGCATAAATATTTACCAAAAACTAATTGGGTTTCTGCATAGTTCTCTTTAAAAGTTTCAT